GAGAGAGAGAGAGAGAGAGAGAGAGAGAGAAAGAAAGAGACAGAGAAAGAGAGAGTCATTACCCCTAGTTTGACCACATTCTATAAAACTTTTCTTCCTGCACTATACTATAACTCCAAAAGTGTACACTCATGTGAATTCAGTCTTCGTTAAGAGAGAAGGCAAAGTGTTCAGAGTTAACAAACATGTCTACCTTTTGAGCCTAGAACTCCCACTGGGTTGGGAGAATTCCTCAAGAACTTGGCGTTGAACTTGATGGGGAGATCTTTGGCCATTGGTGGCTTGTAAGTCTGTGGGAAAGTCCATACAAGTACGGGTAAGAATACGACATGAGTACAGATAAGACAAAACCGTATGAGTATGAGTACAGGTTAGAACAATTAATACCATATCAGTACAGGTAAGAACAAAACTAAAGCATACAAGTGCAGGTAAGAACAAAACTAAAGCATACAAGTACAGGAAAGAACAAGTAAGAACAAAACTATACAAGAACAGGTAAGAACAAAACTGTACAAGATCATTTAAAAAAATTTTTTTTTATAGTAGAGGGTTTTACGGTGTCAACAGAGAAGTCTTTACAGGGAATCAGACTTACACTGCTCACCTCTCTAGCTTCAACAGCACAAGGTCTGCTTTGACTATCAAGGCACCCCAAAATAGCAGGTCACAAGAGAGTGACAAACATACTAAAGAAGTAGAGGAGAATGACAATAGTAAGGATCAGGAAAGAAAAAGCAGCAGTTCCCTGTTGTAGATCAGGCACAGTTATGAGCATGACATGAGTTAGCACATTTACAATTCTACTATGCTTGAACGAGAAATGTCCCCCCTTTGGGAATGTCCTAAAGACACTTCAGACAGTGGCACTGCCCTGTGGTGTGCACAAGAACAGATAAGAACAAAATTATGCAAGAACAGGTAAGAACAAAACTGTTTGTTTGAGCAAACAGAAGCACATCGGCACAATAAAGTGCTGAGAAAAAGTAAGACTGACAGAAACAACACAGGGAAAGTTAAGAAGTATATGACCTACCGGTGGCACCTCCCAAACACCCACAATGAATCAGCTCATTTACAATTACAATTCTACTGTGCAAAAGAACTCAAGATGCCCCCCCCCCACCCTCCCCTTTGCGAATGGCCTAAAAACAGGTAAGAACAAAACCATATTACGAGCACAGGAGAGAAGAAAAGTTAGGCCTGCCTGACCACTCACCCAGGTGCCTGTGCTCAGTGCACGTCCACTGTCAGGTTCAAAGGTCATCGACTCCAGCAGGAAGAAGCCACAGCCCAACATGAACCCTCCCTCCAGCTGGCCCAGGTCCAGGCGGGGGTTCAGGCTGGAGAAGATGGAGTGAAAGGATTGAGGGGTGGGGGGAGGGGGTGGTCACCTGCACAATACTAATAACTATAAATTATTTTAAGTAAGAGTTTTACGGCACTTGCAACTCAATAAGGTGAAATAGGTGCCGAAGAATAGAGGTGTTACAAGAGAGTAACATACAAAAAAAAAAGAAAGAGGAGAGATCAGGACGATAGACGTTTTGTTTTAGTAGAGGTTTTACAGCGTTCGCAACCGCATAAGGTCATATGAGCGCCAGAAGATTAGAGGTGTTACAAGAGAGTAACAAACACAAAAAAGAAGGAGGGGAGATAAGGACGATATATGTTAAATAGGAAAGAAGGAGGAAACCACACCAGAGCACCCGCTAACCATCCATAATTATAAATTATAATACCATATTATTGTGCTCAAACCTGAATAAAGAACACAGGTTCTGAAAGCTTTATAAATTCAATAGCAACTCAAAAACAGTAGGTGTTCTGACTAAAAATCTCTACATTATCTCATTAATCTAAAAACGAAAATGACTTTGTAAATAAATGTAGAAGTTTTACACCCCAATAGAACTAATATAGAATTAGTTCTATTCAGATCATTCAAGAGGTTAGCTGCTTTGACCCTGCCTGTCAGGGCCAACCTGGGCTGAGCTAGGGAGATACAATGCCCCAACAGAAAGATAGAGATACGAGACAAGGTACTCCAGGTTTTTTTTCCGACAAAGGAAGTGAACACCTGTAATTGGTGTGCTACAGCGAAGTGCCTAAATGCTACACCACAGACGCTACCTGCACCATAGGGCATCATGTAACCGACTGAATCCTTCCAACCCCATGCGCACATATTTTCACCTCCCACCGTCCCAAGAGCGTATATTCTCAGTTTAGGGGGGATACCGAATTTGCGCATATTTAAAAATTAGCAAACCTAATTGAAGGTTAATTTTCATATTCCTTCATTTGCTTTTAAAGATTGTTATATGTTATTATCTAAACTTCATTACAAAGATACGACATAACTTTTTAGAATGCATGCCTCTTTTTTCTGAAAAACTGCTGTATTGGCCGGGACTGGGGTTAGAGAGTGCACAAAAATGGCTGGAGCTGGAAGGGTTACCCAAGAATAACAACACCATAGAATCTACCTTTTCACTATGTTAACAGTTATGCTATGTAGATATATGCTCTTTGTACTCATTACATACATGTCTCAATAAGAGTTGTGTTTTCCAAAGAGTAATAATAATAATAATAATAATAATAATAATAATAATAATAATAATAATAATAATAATAATAATAATAATAATAGTAATAATTGCATTTATATAGCGCATATCCATGCTCAAGAGCATGCTCTATGCGCTTTACAACTATTATTACCCCAGCAGACCCTCTGAGAACACTCAGAAATATACTCCGCTTCCGCGGAAGCATACAGTGCAAGCTGCAGAATTCACGCGCTCAAACACTATCAAACTGACAAGATCGTTAACTGTCTATAGCCGGGTACCCATTTCCACCAGGGTGAAGTGAGGAAAATTTGTGCAAAGTGCCTTTCCAAAGGACACATCGTCGGGCCCCTGACGGGATTCGAACCCACGACCTTACGGTTGCGAGTCCGAGAGCCTAACCACTAGGCCACCAACGCCGAGTTAACAACCTACTGAGTTAACCGTGAGTGACTCTTGATCCATTATTATAAGGTGTAAAATAATGTTTACCAAATTTCTCAACTGTTACCTTCCTAGGGTCCTTTAAATCTGCTTTCCCCGTGTCCTGATTTGGTGCCGAATATTAGTAAGTTAAAAATAGAATTATGTTAATGTTGTAGTTTCTGTTAGAGTGAGCTTGTTCAGAATAACAAAAAAGAGACACTTTAATCCTATCCGTACGTCGTGTTTTACTATCCTATCCATACGACGTGGGGAACTCAGTGCCAACACTTTCCAAAGAGGAAATTTACTCGTTAATCCGATCCATACGCTCTGCATATCAGTCTGTCAAAATGATTTTTTGAAAAATACTGAAAGTTTCAAAGATATCTTCGTACTAGAAATATTCTAAAATGTGAAGAATTTTACCCCGGGGGAACAAAATGACCCCAGGGCGTACGGATAGGGTTAATGTAGTAGATTCTAGTTTCGGTTAGAGTGAGCTTGTCCAGAATAACAAAAAAGAGACACTTTACTTTTAAAAAAGGTTTCTAGAGGCCTTAACCGACCCACCTGACGCCGCTGTCACACAAGTAGTCCACCTGTAGCACCTGGTACTGACCCGTCAGAACGTCCAGCTCCACCTCAGCACAGCACACGCTGTAGCAGCTGTAGTTTTTCACGCTGCGATTCCCAGCTCCTGACCTATTTTGGTTTCAGATTTTAGTTTTAGTAAGAGTTTTACAGCACTTGAAACACCATTAGGTCATATGTGAAGCGTGCTGACAAAATGAGTTACTTCTCAGATTCGAGCCCTTTAGAAATAGAATCATCACGCTTATAGGTAAAATTTTTACAATTCATAGTGTGAAATAATAAAAGGCATTGTATACTTAAAGAATATGACATCAATAAAAAATCTACAAATTTAACCTTATAGTGTTTTTTTTTTGTCCAATAGAATAATATATCCGTTTGCAGATTGCGAGAAGTAACTCATTTTGTCAGCACACCTCAAATATAAGTGCCAAGATTTTGCAATAGGTTTACAGCATTTGCAGCCCAATTAGGTCACACAAGTGCCTTTATTTAATAAGAGTTTTCTATTGCACATGAAACACATATAAGTCATATAAGTGCAGAATAAACAAGGTATAACTAGATAGTAATATACAAAGAAAAGAAGAAGGAGATCTATAAGGATTACAGCTATTTGATTGGTATGAAGAAGCAAACCACACCAGAGCACCTGCCAACCATCAACTCTTCTGACCAATGGGACAGGGAACATCAAATAGAAAGAAGGAGAGTATTTTTTTTTTTTTAAGTAGGTGTTTTACATTCCATCGATAGTTAAGATCATTTAGGAAGCAGGTTTTGGCCCTGGCTGTCAGGGCAAACCTCAGCTGAGAGAGATACAACTTTTAGTTTAGTTTTACTAGAGGTTTTACGGCGCTCGCAACTGCATAAGGTCATATGAGCGCCAGAAGATTAGAGGTGTTACAAGAGAGTAACAAACATAAAAAAGAAGAAAGGGAGGTAAGGACGATAGATGTTTGATAGGAACGAAGAAGCAAACCACACCAGAGCAACGGTCAACCACCCACAGAGAGATACAACGTCACAGCAGAAAGATTAACATTCTCCATAAAGTCTTCTCCAGGCATGAATTGCGTGAGATAGCAAAATGTCTGCCTATCTGTCTGTCCGTCTGTCTGTCCGTCTGTCTGTCTGTCTGTCTACCTATCTGTCTATCTGTTTACCTATCTGTCTATCTGTCCACCTTTCTGTCTGTTTTAACACTTTCTCTCTCTCTCTCTCTCTCTCTCTCTCTCTCTCTCTCTCTCTCTCTCTCTCTCATTCTCTCTTTCACTTCTTCCCTCTCAAACTCCCTGCCAGAATTCTGAGTCTACAAATTCAACAGCATGAAATATCACAGAGGAAACAGTTTCTGGACCCAAAAACATCCACCATGATCAGACCTGTAGTAAGCAGTCAAGTCCACCATCTCAAAGAAACACTGCCGAACCAGTGCATCCCACTCGGTGCTGTCACCCAAACAGTCTCGAATAGGCTGTATCCTTTCCGTTAATTCCTCGCAACATTTTATAACTCCCTGAAGAAACAGTCACAGAACACAAAAAGATTAAGACCAGCTTGAACTTCAAGACAATGTTAAAAGCAGAAAAAAACGCCGAAAACTTTAGCCACATCAAATGTTGTACATCTTCTAATTGTTTAAAGAAAAGTGCTAGAGGCTTGAAAGGATGAGATTTGGCATAAGTTTTCTACTTCATCATTTTCTCCTAGTCCTCCTTTTTCTTTCTTCTGCTGCTTTGTCTTCTTTAACTTTTACTCCTCCTCTTTCTTCTTCTTCTTCTTCTTCTTTTTCTTCTTCTTCTTCTTCTTCTTTTTCTTCTTCTTCTTCTTCTTCTTCTTCTTCTTCTTCTT